AGAAACTCTACTTGAGCCAGAACCAGATCTCCCGTTTCCCTCTGGAACTGGTCAAAGAAGGAGCCAAACTACCCAAATTAACGCTCCTGGATTTGTCCTCCAACAAGCTGAAGGACTTGCCATTGACTGACCTGCAGAAGCTGCCAGCATGGATCAAGAATGGACTGTATCTGCATAACAACCCCCTACAATGCAACTGCGAGCTCTACCAGCTCTTCTCACACTGGCAATATCGGCAGCTGAGTTCCGTGATGGACTTTCAGGAGGATCTGTACTGCATGAGGTCCAAGAAGCTACACAATGTCTTCAACTTGAGTTTCCTCAACTGCAGTGAGTACAAGGAGAGTGCCTGGGAGGCTCATCTGGGTGACACCTTGACCATAAAGTGTGATACTAAGCAGCAGGGGATGACCAAGGTATGGATGACACCAAGCAATGAACGGGTGCTAGATGAGATGGCCAATGGCACAGTGACAGTGTCCAAGGATGGCAGTCTTCATTTCCAGCAAGTGCAGGTTGAGGACGGGGGTGTATATACCTGCTATGCCATGGGGGAGACTTTCAACGAGACACTGTCCGTGGAATTGAAAGTGTACAACTTTACCTTGCACGGACACCATGACACCCTCAACACAGCCTACACCACCCTAGTAGGTTGTATTCTCAGTGTGGTCCTGGTCCTCATATACCTGTACCTCACCCCCTGCCGCTGCTGGTGCCGGGGTGTAGAGAAGCCTTCCAGCCATCAAGGAGACAGCCTCAGCTCTTCCATGCTCAGTACCACACCCAATCATGATCCTATGGGTGGTGGGGACAAAGATGATGGTTTTGACCGGCGGGTGGCTTTTCTGGAACCTGCTGGACCTGGGCAGGGTCAAAATGGCAAGCTCAAACCAGGAAATACCCTGCCAGTGCCCGAGGCAACAGGCAAGGGCCAACGAAGGATGTCAGATCCAGAATCAGTCAGCTCGGTCTTCTCTGATACGCCCATTGTGGTGTGAGCAGGATAGGTTGGTGGGGAGATTCTGCCCCAGGAGAGGTAATGCACCCCTGAAGGATATGAGGGGATGGAAGAGAGGGCTGGCTGCCCAAGGGAGTGGGTTCCTCCTGACCTCCAGGGAATTGGTCATGGGTACAACAGCAGGCAAGATTCCAATGTGGGTGTGGCTGCCACGAGTTTCAAATATGGATATATTAATCCTCAGGCAAATGCTACACCCCTACCCAAAACCCTGGAAGTTCTCAGTGTGGCAGAGGAAGAGGAGGGTGTGAGAGCTGGATGGGAATGAGGAAGGGGTAAGAGGAAAAGCACATTCCCAAAACTTTTTTGAGGTCATCCCTAGCTCCTTAAGAGAAAACCATTTGAAAAACAATATTTTTTTCTGTCTCTTCCCACCCACACTTATGAAGTTGTGTGTGTTGGGGGAGCCTCCACAGGAGCCACATTGGGAAAGCTGCAGTATCGTCTTTGGCCAGGAAGTCACACTTCACAGCTGGGGAATTGGAAACCTTTGGAAAATGAGTCAGGAAAAGGCTGAGACCTGGATCAGTGGCACTCCCCAAAGCGCTGTGAGACTTCCCATTGAAGTCTTCTTTCCCCCTGAGCCCCGGGTGGATGGATCTTTGCAGGAGCCTGGCCTGTCATCTGTTTGTTATGGCAGCAATGTGGGATATAGTATCTATGCCTTGTCCAAGGACTAGTGGCACAGATACCCATACAGCATGAACTAAAGGATCCCTGTCACAGAAATAGGTGCCAGCCCAAAATTTATAGATGGGGTGAACTTCAGATAGGCTAATTCCCTGGATGGGGAAAGCCTTGGTTAACATTTGATTACCAGCATGTGTGTGTCAGACAGGTTGAGGGCTGCAGAAGGCAGAGCGATTATGGATGCCTGCCATAGATGTGGTCTGTGGGCCCACTCTTATTAGAAGGATGAGGGTAAACCAGCCTCTATAATGTAGCAGCCAGCTGGACCTACCTGATTTTCTGTGTATGCCATCTCTTCATTCAGTCTCCTTATCCAACTCAGGCAGGATTCTGAGTTTTCCCTATAATGCTGCTCTGCAAAGGGAGGAGTCTAGGAAGGTGTGGCCCCAGCCAGGTGAGACTGGGCTTGAGATAGAGGGGACCCAATATGTATCTCCTCAAATGTTGACAAGGCTACCTCGCTCCTTTCAGAGATCTCCTGCTGCAAAACCAAAGCATGAGGTTTTGTCATCTGAGGGGTTTGGAATTGGGTGGTCTCTGTCCTAGAATGTAGTTTGGAGTACAGCTTAGGTGTCTGCCCTCCAGAAGGCCGCAGGCAGTCCTGCAGCAGAGGCAGTCAGTGGTAATAAACTTCCAACAGGGAAGTTCTGCCATCCCAGTCCTTTCAGCCAGAGGTCTGTGCAGTTGTGGTTGTCAGTCCAGAGGAACATAAAAAACCCATTAGGTTACATCCAGGGTTGCAGGATACTTTGGCTATGGAGACGAGTGCTCCTTTAACTTCTCTCTTTGACCACATTGCAGGTCCGGGAGGTGGTGGTTCTGAGCTTTGGCAGGGGGATGAGCAAGGCAAAGGTGAAAATGTTCTCTGATGTTGGTCTTTATCAGTGTCTCTTCTCTTTCATGTTTCCTGTCCATTGGAAGTTCTCCAGGTCTTCTAATTTTCTGACCTGCTTTTTAGGTTCCAAGAGGTGTTATTTACCTGAGGGTGAGGGCTGCTTGCTAGGAGGGCCTGACTCATACACTGCCTATTAAGATGGGGAAGGGGACTGGAAGTTGACAACTTATCTGTTCCTGGGATCTGAAGGCTGCTGTCCATCCTTTATTAATATCCCAGTTTTGTCAAGAGAGAGGTGCAGCAATTTCCCTTAAGTAGTTGCATGCTCATAGGTATGCATGCTCATAGGTATGCATGCACACCAGCACCTTGACCTCTACCAGGACAGTGAACCTATAGTCCCCAGCAATGGTCTACACCTATGTGCACAACATCATGCACACAGTTTTCTTGTGCTATAGGAGAGATGGTGAGCACGCCAGGCTCCTCAAATACACAATTTTTTACTTTAATTTTTGGGATACCTGTATCTTCACCCATATCTCCATGGCTCTGAATCACTTCCTTGTAAAGGCTAGAGTTAGGGGGAGCATGGGTTGAAGACCTTGGGAGAAGGATGATGGGGCACTAGCTGGTTCTACAAACTCCTCAGAAGCTTCCATAGAGACAGTATATGAGGCATTAAGCTAGAACCAGGACAGTGAAGGGCCCAGAAGAAAACTGGCAGGGGGCCAAGCAGCTGTGACTCCCTCTTCCGGTTAATGCCCTGATAAGATAAGGGTAGGGAAGGAAAGTTGTCTGGTTATATTCTAGGGCTCTAACTCTTTAAGGTGAATACCAAATGAAGCAAGCCTTCTGGGACATTCTAGATGAGCTTCTGATGATTAGGAGAGCCCTTTTCTTTCTAAGTCCTACCAAGCAGCTCTGAGTCGCCTGGCTATACCCACTAGTTTGGTTCCTAATTTGAGACACCTGGAAGATGTACCTGTCTGCCCCACAAAGAGGTTCAACTGGTTATCTTCTTGCAGTGGTTTCAGTTGATAGAACCCAAAGGTAACTCTTTGCTTGGGGGATTGAATACTCAGCATAGGTAAGTTTCCTAGAACCCTAGGTAGAAAACTGCCAGGTGTGGATGAGAGAAGGATGAGAGATTACCTCCTCCCCTCACCCTCCCCTGCACCCATAAACCAGATAGTCTCCCAGGTAGCAGGTGTCCCTGGAGACAGAAGATGATAGGGCTCTACAATCTGTCTGTGTAATCATTTGTGATCTTTCTTTGCCTGTATTTGTGGGCCCCCATCCCCAAAGGGGCCAGGAGGGTACATCCCAGCTGGGGAGAGCAAAGCCAACTGATTCCAGTTTTGTGTGTGTTCTGACCTCTGTACTTCCTTCTCCTGTGTCCAGGACACTGTTCCTCCCTCTTGTGTACACCCAGGCTGGCAAACCTCAGAGCCTCTGGACTCTGAAAACTAGACAATGATGATTAAACCTGGCTTGAGTCTCTGTTCTGGAATAGTCTATTGCTGATTTATTTATCTTTTCAGCCTGTGGGTGGGGTTCACTGTACCTCAGAGGATATGGCTTGTCTGGGGAAAGAGTCTTTAAATGCTGTTATAAGGACATAGGCAAAACCTTCTAAGCATTAAGAAAGACTAGGGGGAGCCAGACAACATGGTGGCACACATGCCTGTAATCCCAGTGACTTGTGAGGCTGAAGAAGGAGGATTGCAAATCTGAGGCCAGCCTCAGCAACTTAGGAAGACCCTGTCTCAAAAAAAACAAAACAAAACAACAACAACAAAAAAACAAATGCATAAAAGGAACTGGGGCTGTAGCTCAGGTAAAGCACCCCTGAATTCAATCCCCAGTACCAATAAATAAAGACTAGGAGTCAGCAAACTTTCTATAACAAGTCACATAGTAAGTATTTTAGGCTTTGTAGGCCTTGCACTGTTATACCTCATAGTCTGTTATGCCCCTATAAAGGGAAAACATCCACAGACAATAATGAATGATGTGATTCTGTTCCAATGTATTAGTCAATTTTCTGCTGCTATAACAAAATACCCAAGGCTGAATATTTTACAAAGAAAAGAGGTTTATTTAGCTCACAGTTTTGGAGGATGAACGTCTAAGATCTCCTGACTCCCATCTTCTTGGCCTCTGGTGAGGGCCTCGTGGTAGACAGCATCACAATAGTGAAGTATGGGTAGAAGACATCATGTCATGATATAGGAAGCCAGAGATAGTCAGGGGCCAGGATTGCTCTTTTTATTATACATGCTTTCATGAGACCTAACTGGAGTCTCTTCTGAGGATGGTGCCCCCAATGATATAATTACTTCCCACTAGGCCCCACCTCTTAAAGGTTCTACCACCTTTCAACACCATACTTGGGACCATGGGACCAACTTCTAGTACATGAACATTTGGAGGACATTCAAACCATAGCCACACCATGGCATCCAATAAAACTTTATTTATGGACACTGAAATTTTAATTGTTTTTTTTTCCAACCATTTGAAAATGCAAAAACTGTCAGTGGCTCAGAGACTACACAAAACTAGGCAGTGTACTGTTTTGACTAGCAGACCATAGTTTCCAAACTGACAGATTTCAAAAGAAATGTCACTGAGGCTTAGAAGGCAAGAGTTTAGAAATCCCATTACCTAGGCTAGGATTATCTAATTGAAGATTTCCTGGGTCCCTGCAGTCTACATTGAGCTTACTAACAGTACCACAGGAAAATGCTTGGATTGAGGGTTTTTTGTTTTTTTTTCAATGGTGGAAAACTGCTAATTTTAACACATTTTTTTTTATTACCAGCATATTTTCATGTTGCAACTGGCAGTCATCTTAATTAGGGTAAAGTTCTATTCACCTAATGGGCAGGTTAGTATTCACTGACAGTTTGGTGTGTCCTGGGCATTTCATGGAATGAAAGAATGCAGTCCTCACTTTATTATCAGACATAGCCTTTCTGAAATCGGACTGATTCTAAACTCTAACAAGGCAAATTCTTTGGCTAGGCTCTGGATACTTCTGGAAGGGGACTGTCATAGTAAATCCCAAAAAAGAAAAGAATCAGCACCTGTAATCCCAATGGCTCTGGAGGCTGAGGCAAGAGGTTTGTGAGTTCAAAGCCAGCCTTAGCAACTTAGCAAGGCCCTAAGCAACTCAGAACCCATCTCTAAGTAAAATATAAAAAATGGGTTGGGGATGTGGCTCAGTGGTTAAGCACACCTGAGTTCAATCCCTGGTACCCAAAAATAATAATAATTAAAATAATCAGAATTTCTATAATTATACATTTTCTTTCTATTATAAAATCCTAATCATTGTCTGGAAAGTTGTCTTTTTTTTTTTTTTTGAAAGTTTTTTTTTTTTTTTTTTTTTTTTACTTCAGAGGAACAATAAGAGCTGGTGAATCCCCCCCACCCCCCAAAAAATGCCAGTGAGAGAGATGCCTCTCCCAACTAGCCACATCAACCTTATCAGTGAAACGACAGATGTTCGTGTCAGACCTCTCCCATAATCCACATGTGTACAATGTTTCATCTTTGCAAAGCAGTCTTTCCTCTGGCTGACAGTTGGCCAAGAGGATGAAGCTGGTAAAGAGAACAGGCTGGAAAACACTAAGAGTTCTTCCCTCTGCTGTTGGCCTGTGCCAAGCCCTGTCTCTGAGCCTGACTTTTGACACTCCTCTCTCCATTACTCCAAGGAAATCCATTTATCTTTTCAACCCTTCTTGCCTGGCCCCACCCCTAAGCCACAAGAAGTTCCCTAGATCCTGGCCAGGAGGTGCGATTTTGTCTGCCTTGTCTTGTGGCACTTTCCCTTGTTCCTCTTGGGTAGCACTCTGGAGCCTAGGGGAGGCTAATTAGTAACAGCTGCCTTTTAGAACAGAAACCGAGAGTTCAGTGCCTGGGCCAGCCTAGTCTTTCCTCCACCTGGTCTCTCAACTCCTCCCCTTTTTGTATTTGTTATCACTTGTCTCCCAGGAAACCAGTGGTGAAGCTTCACTTTCCCATCCGCTTGAGTCCACCAAGACTCGGGCCCCTGTAGTAGGACCACTGGCTTTTCTGATCATGCTGCAGTGTGTCTATGCTGGGTGTTTCCTTTCCTGTGGTTTAAGAGAAAGGTAAAGCAAGCTCCTTCATTAGGGTTATTATCCACTGACAGGTGGAAGATATCAAATGGTCAAGAAACTGAGACGCGCCCTGAGGCCTTCCAGTGTCTGTTACCTTGGTTATTGTCCCTGGAGCACAGAGGGCACAGAACCATGGTCTAAGAGAACCATATTCAGTGAGTCAGGACATGGAGCCCTGTGGTTAGACTGCCAGATGCCCTCTGGCACTATCATACATAGGCAAAGAATCACTGCCCCCAAATCTGAGTGTGTGTGTAAATGTGCCCACAGTTATGGGGACTGGAATTAGATAGTATCTGTGCTGCTTTTTCCTTACCTCCCACTGCTCCCTCCCTTGGTCATAATTTGTTCTTGGTATGGGCCTAAGCAGAAACAGCATGCCTGGGATGCACTGTGAGAGCCTGGCCTGGTGGTGCACACCAGTAATCCCAGCAGCTCAGGAAGATGAGGCAGAGGGATTGTGAGTTCAAAGCCAGCCTCAGCAACTTATCGAGGCCCTAAGCAACTTAGTGAGACCCTATCTCTAAATAAAATATTTAAAAGGGCTGGGGATGTGACTCAGAGGTTAAGTGGCCCTGGTTCAATCCCCAGTATCAAAACAACAAACAAACACAACACTGTGAGGAAACTGGGAATCTGCTTTCAAGATAGGAGCACTAGGGGGCCATACATGTACACTCTGTGAGATAAGGGTTGGTTCCTCGAATACCACAGAATACCCTGAAATGTTTCCTTAATCTCCTCCTAAGAGAGGTTAAAAACTCATTGGCGGGGCTGGGGTACAGCCTAGCGGTAGTGTGTTTTTTTTAGCATGTATGTGGCTCTGAGTTCAATCCTTAGCATTGCAAAACATTGAAAAAAAAAAAAAAACTCATTTGGGAAATTCTGACAACAGCAGGTGGATTAGAAATGGACCGTTATTCTTGACTGGCCACCTTGGTGATGAGCCAAGTCTTCGGGGTGGTGGTGGGGACTTGTCCCACTGGAGGTAATTTGTGTCTGCTATAGCCTAGTCTGGTGCTGAAACTTCTTCCAACCACCCTCCAGGGCAGTTCTGGGGCACAACCTTCCCACCTTTCAGCTTAGGTCTTCTTTGTGCCTGTGTTGGAGAGAATGGCTGAGGTTAATACCCTCAATGCCTGACTCGTATTTTATTCTTGGATCCCAGGACAGTAAAAACAATCCAGATAAAAAAACAAACATTCAAGCCTCCATACTGCTGTTGCTCCTGTGTCTCTGTGTCCACTCCAGGCAGACTGCTGCCCCTTCTCAGACAAATGGAATGGAAAAGTATCCTTCATCTAATTTGAAATTTAAACAGAACTTCTTTCATGGTGTGTGTGTGTGTGTGTGTGTGTGTGTGTGTATGTGTATGTGTAAGCATGTGTATGTTAATTCCAATGAAGCATTCTGAGGAAAAGGATACCATGATCCTATTTCTAGAGCCTGAAACAGGGAAGGGAAACTAAACCAGGCTCCTGAAGCCATTACAGTTGGATATAAACCCTTACAGTTCTATATCCTCAGTGTTGGGCATGAGGACCTGAGGCTCAGAGGGGTATGCTATCAGCATGGTGTTCACTACTACTGCTCCTCCTTTTACTGGCTTGTGTGCCCTCTTTTCCTTCTGAAGGGCAGAATCAGGAAGGAAAGATTTAGATAGACTTGTGACCAGCAGCTCCTGAATAAGATGAGTTCCAGGCATTTCTGTTTAAACCCAGGGAGCAACTGTAATGACACAGAGATTTGCAGTCAGCCCCACTTAGGGCAAACCTCACAAGTCATGGTCTTGGTGGCATTTCTGGCAGTAGTGGATAAGAGCTAGAAGGAAGAAATGTGTGATCTCTTATGGTGGTCACACAACCTCTCTGAGACTTGGGTCCCCCAAACACCATTATCCACAACTGTTAATTGCCTCCCTAGGAAGCATTAAGGACCAGAGCCAGGCTCAGTGAGAGAGAAAAAGACAAGAACATAGTAATATCACCTGTTTACATTTGTTTAACACTTTGAATTTTCCAAAGCCTGTTAACATTCATTTTCTTATCTAACCCCACAACATCCCTGTGAGGCAGGTCAAGTAGCAAGTGATTTGTCCACACCCACACCAGTGTTAGGGGCTGAGTTGACCCATATAGCAGCTTTCCCAGCTCCCAGGCCAATATACCTTTTGTTTCAAGACACAGTTCTTTATGCCAGCCAAACACAGGAGCATCAGGGGCACTGAGCCAGAAGCCTCCCTGCTCCCTAAGCTTACAGAGGGGCACCAGAAAAGCAGCAGCTGGGGCATCTAGACCAGGGGTCCCATGAAGACCAAGCAGGGAAAACAGAAGGGCAGGAATACTAGAGGTTCAAGGTCCTCAGCCAGCACTATCAACACCTCTCAGTTGAGCATACACTGTGCTCCCGACATATCTTGACCTTTGTCAGGAGCTTGGGCCTGCCTAGTTTACTGAACAGACTCTCAGTGCTTGCTCCAGAGAAGCTTCAAGGTACAGCTAGGAGGCAAGACGCCTGACTCCTTCCTCTCCCACAGTGCCTTCCCATTCTGTTACATTCTGCAGCCCAAGAAGAGGGGGAAGGTGAGGGCTGGCTGACTCAGCCTGCAAGTGCTTAGAGATCTGGAGCTCAAAGGCCCCAGCACCATTCAGCTAATGATTATTATTAACTCTGAACAGGCCTTGGCACAGCAGCCAGCTGGCTCTGGGAGGATGCCTGGATCTCCCACAGTGAGGTCTAGAAAACGAGACCCACGGCAGCCATGCATGGGGGTGGCAGGGTGGGACAATGAGAAAGGACAGACAAGCCAGTGTCAGGGAGTGGCAAAGGGTGATCTGCCTTGTGAGGGGGTGGGGAGAAGGCACAGGCTGGCAAGTGATAGCAGCCTGTCTTGGATAGAGCTGAAAGCCAAGGAGGTGAGGCTGGAAGACTGCCTTAGACGCAGAGCTCCTGCCATTCAGTACCACCCCCAGTCCCTATGGGGCTCAAGGGAAGGGGTGGTTATAGGAATGATGGGGGCTTAGGAGGGGTAGGCAAACCCAGAACGGTAATCCCATTACCATTTGCACTTGGATACAAAACCATCTATATTTCTAATGTCCTCAAGGTTGAGTCTGAATATAATCAAACTTGGAACACTATCAAACATGGAATCAGGACTTAGTGAACTTAATATGGAAATTTGTGCAAATGACAAATTTTAAAATTTTAATCTGAGCACCCTGGCTTTTCTTTAAAAAAGCAAAATAGGCTGACTACTAGCAGCTTTCCCTAGTCAAGGAACAAGGGCAAAAGGGCAGCCATTCGCTTCTCCCCTGAGGCCTCTGCCTGCTGCCGAGGAGCACAGCTAGTGCCCCAGACAAGAACAGATACGGGGGGGGGGGGGGGCGCAGAACAGAGGGTGCAGGAGGCACAGGCAGCCAGCAGCCACTGAGATCCCAGCTGGAGGATGAGTGCCCTGGCACTGAGTTCTCATGGTTGGTCCAGCTGCTGCCCCAGGATGTGAGGGCAGGTGGTGATAAAGGGAGAAATGGGAAGATGGGAGAGAAGGAGAGAAGTCCCTTCCCCACCCCATCTAGCCTGCCAGAAAGACTCTCCTGGTGATCTCCCTATACTCTAGTCAAACCTGCTAAGCAAGAGGAGATGATCTGTGTCCTCATTCTCTCTGCCCTGCTCCTGCCCTCCAGGCCCACTGGTCAGAGAGACAACAGCTGGGTCCCTTCCTTCTGCAGAATATATATGATTCCCCTTCCTCCCAGGGCTGGGAATAGACATCAGATGGCACAGCCCCCGCAAACTCCCGGCTGTCAGCACGCCTGCCCGTCCGCCCACCAGCCCCCGCACCACCTGGGTGGAGGCAACACCTCAAGCAGGATTGGGCTTTCCGGCTTCGCCTGCTTGCTCTCAGAGCAAGCTGGTAAACCTTACCTGGCCCTCCCATAGACAGGGTGAGGCCCTCAGCACTGGTCGTGGCAAAGAAAAAAGAATAATTCCTGGATCAAAATGACCCTAGCTGAGAATCTCATTTCATGCAGCAGGAGTACCTAGAGGTTCAAGGTCCTCAGTAACATTTCTTTCAACTTCATACCATGTTGGATAGTTTGAGAACAGAAAGAGGGCAAAGAGACAGGCACAATCATCCTCTGTACAGCATGGGCCTCCCTCGGATGCTCAGTGTCTAGAGAGTCTAGAGAGCTCCTGGGAGATGCTCAACTCACCCAGGAGAAGTATAGTGAGGACCACTGAGAGAAGACTTCTGCCCTTGTAGTCCCCTTTCCTTTGCTATTTAATCATACCAGCTTCTTGTTTCTGAGGCACCTGGAGAGGAGGCTGGGGCATCCAAGTTACTGACATCAAGGACCAGGCCTCTCTCTGGTCCTGGAAACTGAAGCTCCAGCCTCTATAATCCAGGCCAACCAGAGTTTCCAGTGGGCTGTATCTCCCTGCATAAAAAGCTGCACAGCAGCTTTCCTGGCTCAGCTGTATTCAGTTCTTGCCGTAATCTAGGGAGGTCCCATCTCCAAGTGAGCCAGACCCACAGCTAACCAGTCTGGCATCCAATCTTACCACCAAGGGCAACCTGGGGAATGACTTTTAGGAGGGGTCTCTACAGGAAAGAGAATCCAGACTGGTTGGCACCAAACTCAGCCCCTTTTGGGGCCAAAGAGCTGGCAGAAGACTGACAAGGAGAGAAGGGAAACAAGGAAGACTTCAGTTTCCTCAGACCACATTTCCTTGTCCCTTATTTTGTTCTAAAAGCTATGTGCTAAGGCAAAATCCTGAGTCCTAGGAATACAAGATGCTCAGGACTACTTTGCCCTGAGAGTAGATGTCAGGGAAAGGAGCACACCCAGGTTTTGAAGCCTAGATCCTGAGGTGGGCTGAAGGAAGTTCTCAGCGGAGCTAAGGAGCCCAATCAGGAGTGAAAGGCATGGTTAAGTCAATGCACTTCTGCTCCTCCAAAAACTTTAAAGTGACTTTAGTGCCTTCGCCATCTTGGAGTCCTCACTTGGGCCCCTTATCACCACAGTGCCTAACCTTTGTTCCCTGATCCAGGGGACAAACTGGCATAGATTTCTGAAGACTATGAGGGCTGACCTGCCCCTCCAGGGGAGTAAAGGGAGAATGAATGTAAGAATTATATCCTGAGTCTGCTAAGTGGGCCACATAGTCCCATACTGGGAGGGGGTTCAGTGACATCAACCTGACAGACACTGAAGATTAAGAGATGAAAGGAACTTAGAGATTGTTCAGATACATTCACGTCACAGATGAGGTCCTGAGATATAGAACTTACCTAAGGGTGTACAACAGAGCCTAAGAGAACCATAATCAAGACCCATGGCTCTCTCTACTATATCACATTGATTTCATAAAAGGGACTTAAATATCCATGGCTACCCTTCATAACTTATAGGAACCCAACTCTTTATCAGGCACACAAGCAAGAAATCACCACCACCACCACCACCACCTAATACTTCTGTTTCCCATCAAGAGTGGAGGCTTCAGGCTCAAGTTCTCCATCACTTTCTACTTGCATCCAGTGTACTTCCCCATTTTGGCCCACTGAGTCATCCCTCAACAACAGCCATTTTTGCAGCACCTGGCCCAGCCATTAAGTGCAAAAACTCAACCACTTCTGAAGTGGGTCCTTTGAAGGTCACCAAGGAATGATTGAAATCCAAGGCAAGTATTCCAACCAGATTCAGAGTTCAGAAGCACTCACATATCCATTTTCTTCCTTGGCAAGTAGGAGCTGGAGATCTGGTGCATGATCACCAGGGCTGGGTAGAGGGACAGTGCCAGACACAGGTACCAAGCTGCATCTCTGATCTGGGCCTGGAACCACACTGAGTACATGCCCAGAATCACTGTAACTGTAGCCATCAGGTAGACCACCAGTCCACATGTCAAATGGTAGAGCTTGAGGCGAGCCACCCTGGAGACCCTGGCTGCCCGGGGACAAAGTAGGCAGAGCCCACATAGTGCCTGGCCACCAGTAGCCAGTAATGTCAGTGCTCCTAGCCAGCTGTGCCAGGATACCAGATGGGGCAGCTCACTTCGGATCTTGCTGGAGATGATGAAGCCCAGGCCTAGGGCAGCGCAGAGAATGGCTAGGGTCTGCCCTGCCCAGTGGAGCCAGATCCAGGCCTTTCGGGAGCAGAAGAGGAACACAGAATGCTCAGGTGAGAAGAGGAGGATGGCCTCAGCCATGAAGAGGCAGAACTGTGAACACAGGAGAGGGCCAGTGAGCCTGAGGTCTGGCTTGGCGGCCTGAGAAAAAGGAGGTTCTCTCATGTGTCCATGCAAAGAGGACAAAAGGTAGAGGCTAAGAACTTCACCAAGACCTTCTGCTTCATAAAGTCAGCCTTGGAATAACTAAGAATTAGCACTTCAGTGCATGTGTCATCATTCAGGCTAATATCCCCCTCCCGTTTCTTGGCCAGTGGAACAGTTCAAGATGTTAAACTTCCTCCTGACCTTTGGGGGTAAGGGAGGCCAATAACTGGATATTGCCAATTCAATATCCTCCTTTCAGGCCCCATTGGAGAAATATGTTCCATATCCACCCATCCTTCTCAACCACCTGACACTTTATCTATGGCCCAGCCCTCCACATTTCCCAATCCCACAGGCTGCAGGGAAAAAATGAGGCCCTAGCTTCTCCACCACCTCTCTCCTTCTTCTCCTCTCGGTATCTTAGAAAAGGCTGAGCCTTCTAAAATCTGGATGCTTCTTCAGAGGTGAAGCTAAGCTTATCTAAACAAATTAGTTGCTGATAGAATCGCCCAAACTCACCGCCAAGGCCATGAATACAGGGTGCCAGGAGAAAAGACCTAAGAATCAAAGAGAACAGGCTGATGGTTGGGGTCCATTGTTTCTGCCCATGTGGCTAAGTGGACCCCAAAGAATCTGGTCTCAGTGCAAAGGTCAGCATACCATCCCCAAGCCTAATCAAGAATCAGGAACTCAGGGCAAAGTGAAGAGGCCAAGAGGGCCACCCTGAAAACACACAACTTGGCCTGAGTTCCTTATTCGGCACCTCTCAGTTGTCAGTCCAGTCCTCAGCCTCCCTCCTTAACTGCATGTTTCATCAGGATGCATCTGTTCAATCGTTGGCCTTTTCCCCCTACAGCATCCAAAGTCCCACGTTTCCAGGATTCCCCGGGCCCCGCCCACTAGGCTCTTAAAACCTCTCAGTGGCTCGCCCTTCCACTGCTTATGGGGTCCCCCGCTCCACATTTCTCAGCGCACTCCAGCGCTGCCCCTCCAGCACCTCGGCTCCGCCCCCTCCCGTGGCCCCGCCCCGCACACTCACTGGTTCCTGGCCGGGACAGCGCAGTCAGGAAGATGGTGAAGCCCAAAGCTACCAGGTGGGCCAAGATCCCACTGCCTCTCCGTAGCCAGCGGGTCAGTCTCGGCTCCCTCGCTGGAGCGGGAACCAGACCTACCTCCAGGGGCTGCATGGCCGTGCTGGGCCGGCCCGCACAGTCCAGCTGCCAGAGCAGTCTTCCGGGTTTGCAATCGCGGAGGCGGTTGCGGCGGCTGCAGGAGAGGCTCCTCCCGAGGGACGCCGCCGGCAGTGCGGCAGATACGCCCACAGCGCCCTCTGGGGACTGGGGGAGAAGGGCGTCTGCCCAGAGGGTCTGCTCCCCTGAGACCCCTCACAGGACAGCTTGCAGCCCAGCTTCTTTGTAGCTATGTCTACAAGGGCCTGTATCTCAAGCCGTCCATGGAAATTACTTATGTGGCAGCTGATTTCAGTGAAACCACTTGGTATGGTGACCCAAGAGTGTGAAAGTGGTGTTGTGAGCAGCTTCCCAGAAGTACTGGATTGCCCTCGCTGTTCACTCTCCTATTATTTTCTCTTCTGGTTTGTTAAGGGAACAAGATTCCCCCCTGCCTAAAAGCAAGGAAGAATAAAAGGAAAGGACAAGGACAAAAAATAGTGCCTGTATGTTGTGAATTTAGGTTTGAAGAGCAAAGGCAGGAGATGCAAGTCTCATCCCCCATCTGCACAGTAGCTGTCCCCAGAGATACTCGGAAGAACTAGGGCACTCCCAGTCCTTGCCGCCCCCACAACAGCTGCTCAGCCCTGAGGAGCAAGGTGATCCTCAGCAACCAAGCCTCCCACACCCCAAGTTCTGCAAGTGATCTCCCTTTCCCCCTCCCATATCCAAAAAAGATGTGGTCCAACCCAAGGAGGCCGTACCTGGAGAGGCTCTACTAAGTCCTTAAGGGAACACCCACAGGCCAGGAAGAGACAAAAACAAGCTGTCCAGTATAAATCAAGGACATCCTGAGAGCAGTTCCTAACTCAAATCAAGCTTAGGTGGTTGAGAAAATGAGGTTGCTGTCAGACACAGTGGCACACACCTTTAATCCCATCTACTCAGGAGGCCAAGGCGAGAGGATTGTGACTTTGAGGTCAGTCTCAGCAACTTAGCAGGGCCCTATCTCAAAAGTTAAAAAATAAAAAGAGCTGGGATGTAGCTCTGGGGTAGAGCACTTGCCTAGCACGCACGAGGCCTTGGGTTCAATCCCCAGTATGAAAGAAAGGAAGGAAGGAAACAAAAGGAAAAGAGGCTGCTGGTAGGAAATGGGAAAGGGAAGGGATAGCTGAGAAACTGAGGCACTTATTTGGAGAGGGATGGAGACCTACAGCTGCTGAAAGTCCAGAAAAGCACCACAACCCAACTCCCACAGACTTGGGGCAGAAACCCAAGATACAGCCAGAGGAGTGGCTCTCCCCACCCTCCAGTTTTCCTTCCCAGTGGGACCAGAGATTCAGGGGAGCCTGCTAAGAGACACATGCCCATCATCCTATCTGAAAAAAAGACTCTCCTGTGATACAAACTCCAGAAGTGTGTGTGTGTGTGTGTGTGTGTGTAAAAGACACCTATTTCCAGGCAAATACTGGGATCTGGAGTCTGGTTGCCTATCATCTCAACCTCCTAGGGTGTGGTTGGGGACAGTAAAGATACTCATTTTGCTACATTGTTTTTCTTCCTTTTCTGTGTTTCTGTTTTTATATTTTCTTAGCAGCAACAGAACAGGGAGTCAGTCTTGAGGTATTTTAAAGAGTTTTTTTTTTTTCTTAAAAAAAAATAATATAAAGTTATAAAAAGCGGCAGCAGCCTGGGGCCCGGATCTGGAAGGGAGGAGGTGCTGGCGGCTCCATTGCAGTGGGCAGGCACTTTCTTGTTAATGGGCTTTTGACTGTAGGAAGACAAGAGGCAAGAGACAGGATCAGGGTGGGGGCCTACCAGTTGTCCTACCCAGTGAACTGGGTAAACCAAAGGGCTAACTCTTGATTTCCTTCTGCTGGCCTGGTAAGTCAAACAGAGCAAGAGCAAGGTGAATGCCAGTTCAAAAGGGGTGGCCTGGAATTGAGGCTGGAGAGCACACATGCACACACACACAGAGTTAGAACCACAACAGCTGTCAAATGTGCTTTCCTGTGGGTGTCAGGGAAGTCAGTATGCATCTGGCTCATGCCTAAATAGGGAGAACATTTCTCTGTCCCACCTCCCATGAGACCCTCCTGGAAGACATCCCATGGACAGACCAACAGGCGATTCCAGAGCTGTTATCAGAAAAGACAAAGAAACCTAGCTGCAGCTTTACTAGAAACCCTGGAGAACCTGCCTATCATTATAGAACCTGGGGGTGGGCACTCATGCTTATGTGGACCTTGAGTTATGAACTTGCCCGTCAATGCCACAATGCCTAAAGGAAGAACCAAAAAACAAGACACCAGCCCTCCCACCTGGCTGCTCAGCATGTTGAGCCACAGCTCGGGGACCCAAACTCCCTTTCCTTCAAGGAACAGAAGTACTACCAGGCTCTGGAATGGGAGCCACAGCCAATTCAGAAAGAAGTAGCCCTTTGATTACAGCAAAACCTAGGGCAGGGGTGCTCAGCATGTCTTGAGAATAAGGGAGAGGACTATGGATAGGGGAACCATTTGGCAAAAGTGAGGGTTGCTTGCAAAGGGCTAACCTACCTCTGTCTAAAGTAGATGGCTTAGGAACTCTTCCCCTTTCTTCCCTTCCCTGCATAGCCATCTACCTGGCACTTTCTCCATGTCAGGTACCCACTGTGTTCCCCACCTCAGCCTTTCTGACCCCTCTCTGCCACACTTTCCAGGAAGGTGGGCTGGTACCTTCAGTGTAGAGCACTTCTCCTCAAAGGCCAGGGCCGGGCCCGGCTTCTTGCGGCGCACAGAGCAGGTCCCTTCAGAAGGGGCACCAGCCTGACAGTGCTTGGCCTTCACTGGCCGGCAGTAAGTGGCCAGGTTTTTCCGCTTCTTGGCTACCTCTTCCTCAGAGAGGCAGTTGGTTGGCAGGGCCTTGGCTGGGTGTCCAGCTGCTCCCCGGTTCTCCAGCTGAGAAGCCTTGACTGGTGTGGGGAGTGGATGAGGGGAACCCCGACAGTCCAGGGGTCCTGCACGCTTCACTCTTGGACCCACAGTCCCATTAAGTCCCATGCCCAGGGCTGTTTTAGTCTTGGCCGAGAGACCCCGGCAGCCAGAGGGTTTGCCTTTTCCAGTGGGCTCCAGGATACATGTCCGTTTGAAAGTGGTGGGACCAGGGGACAACTTCCGCTTTCGCGAAGGGGCCTCCACCTCTGCCCCATCCTTGCCTTTGGATGACTTGCTAGCCTTGGAAGGCGGCAGCTTGCTGAAGGACGGGGATGGCGTGTTGGCAGGCAGTGGTGAGGTGATGGCCTGGCTGCCGCCCATGCACTCCGCCTGGCTGCAAGCGGCTGCCACACTGGGGGAGCCTGCAGTGTAGCTGGGGACAAGGCTGTCCTTGGTGGGGGGTGTGGAGACTGGGCAGGCGGGCCTGGGGGGTGGGCCTGGAAGTCGGGGGCAGCTGCCCATGGAAGATGGGCTCAGGGGAGCAGATAAGGGGGAGGTGACAAGGTGGGATGGAGGTTCAACCGCCGGTGGGATCTTCCTGCAGTAAAAAGAGAGCCCCACTGTGACTGCCAAGCGAATAAGAGGGCCTCCCCAACACATACCAGTTTCTCTGCCCCGCCTAGAAATGGCCAGCAGAGCCCCAGAGTTGCTGCCATCTGCTGGGAGACACTGGAATTGAGGGTTAGAAAGAAGGCTCAGGGAAATATATACTCAAACTGTATAAAATATGTGAACTAGTGTGCAGACTCATAAACAACTGCATTTTAAGACTCTACTTGAGCATCCCCTATCCCAAGTTACCTAAAAGGTACTGCCAGTGATGGCTAAGGGTCTAAATTCAACCCCAGACCACCCACCCATTCATGCCCTGCTCCAGGCTGCCAAAATCCCCCACCCTGGCAAACAGCCGAGGCACAACAAAGAGCATGTGTGAAAGATTTGGGTTTCTGAAGTCTTGTTCACCAAGGCCTGGGAAGGGGCATTCCAGGCCCAAGAAACTCACTTCCACATGTGTGAGCTGAGGTGCCGTTCCAGCATGGAGCTGAGTGCTGAGCAGAACCGGTCCAGCCGCCGGCTAAACACATAGCATCCTGGGCTCACCAGCCGGCTCCCAAAGGTACAGAACTAGAGGTAGAAAAAGGTCGTGGTTAGTGGGGCCTGAGAAACAGGGAGGGCATCTGCACAAAAGATCTGACCTCTCCCCATACTGTGGGCCAGGAAGGCTGGCCACCCCCACCCCAGGCCCTGCCCCAGGTCCTTACCGCCTGTGGCCGCGGGGGCCGGGTTGCATAATGGCAGTCAGGGGAGAGGTGGAGGTCCTCAGATGTCCCCTCCTCCTCACTCTCCTCGCTGGAGGCCTGGGCCCCACCCCGGGGCAGGGGGAAGGGGAACAGGCCTGGGTCCCCATCACCACCACAGGGGCCTTCATCATCCAACTCACTTTCAGAGGAGGCCCGGGACCTGGAAGGGCCAAAGGGGATGTGAGGGCAACATGACTGGTGTGGGGTCAGGGTGGGGGAGTCCCTGAACCCGCCAAGCTCAAAAAGCCAGGGCAGACACCCTGCTGGGCAACCAGAGGAAGGAGGATAGGACAGGAGGGCATGATAGAGCTCACAGAGTAAGAGACAAGAGCCCAGGGCCACAGCTCCCAAGGGATTCTCTTCCCAGCCCCTTCAGTTCCCAGGCCCTGCCTCCTCAGGGGAAAAATCTGCTCCCGATTCACTTCCTTCAGAAAATCTTCGGAGCTTAACTGCACCCAGCTCTGGTCAGCCCAGTCAACTCTCTCAACCCCCTTCTTGCATCACATATTCCTGTGAGCCTGTCTGGGAGCTGAGCCTGTGTTTCGTGTCTGTCCCTCATGTTACAGGCAAAGAGGCGTGTGTGTCTCCTTCGGCAAGGCAGGCTCTCCCCGGGATCCAGCGCAGCCTCTGCACACGAAGGGGCCAGTGAACGAATACATGGTAGGACTGCCTCACCCAGGACCCTAACCCTTTCAGCTCCCTAGTGAAAGTCTTGGCCTATTGGAAGTAGCTGGGAAAATGTTCATATCCTGGTATTGGATCTGGCACACCACAGAGAGGCTAGGGTATTGTGGTAGCTTGGGCAGGAACAGGGAAATCACCTGCTTCCACACCACTGCCAGGGGCCTAGGTATCCCCCCACATTCAGGGTGGAGTGAGCACATCTTGCAGGACAGACACCTCCTGCACCTGTCTTCAGGGGTCCCTGGTGCCTTAGGGGCCAAGTATCCCCAAGTGAGATGTGCGTTGGATCCTGGACATACCTGGGCAGTGCACAGTATGGGTAGGTCTGCTTGGTGCGAGCAGAGAAGGTGCTGCTGGCAGCAGCCACAGCTGCCACAGCCTGGACTGAGGACGAAGATTCCTGGGAGGGGCGCTCAAGCACTGGCTCCTTGCGCCCTGGGCTCTTCTCCTTAGGAGACTCTCCTTTGCGGGAGTTGGCCTTCAGCTCTGCCACTAGCACATCAAAGTCCTTGGCCCGGCCCTGGACCTCCCGGCGCTGGTGTACCGAGTGGATCTAGAATACAGCAGGGTGGAGGGTGGGGAAGGGGTGTGAGCTGAGAAGTGAGGGGTGGCTGGGTGCTCTGGCCTGGGCAAGCAGAGGGGGGTGTGAGTGTGTTTGGGATATATTTGTGTGTCTTTGTTTTACTCCCCCATGGAGCCAAAATCCTGTTTTGGGGTGGGAGAACCTGGAAGCTACTCCCTGCCTGCTGCTCCCATCTGCAACACTGGGGTGGCCTCCTCTTCCCTTCCCAGCCTCATCCCTGGATAACATCTAAATTCCTTTCCTAACCCAGGTCCTGTGTCTGTGTTAGGCTCCCTCTCCATGCAGTAGAAATCGGGGTTACCTTGCAGGTCAACAGGCGGGTACAGATCTTTTTGGTCTCTGGATTTATGACCCCACACTGCCTATTGAGGTCGCACTCCTTCCCTGTGGGGAAAGTGGTTCCAGTGAGCATAAAGGCCATTTCTTAGAAACCTATGGGAGAACCTGGCCTCTTCCTCCAGGGGCCTGGGAAGAACTGGCTCTAAGGTGGAAGAGCCTCCAGCCCTCAGGTCTGAGGCTCCCCTTGCAGGAAACTCTTCAGGGTATCCAGATCTCTGCAGGGTGTGTGACCCGTCCCTGTCCCCAGCCCTAGCCCAGGCATTTCCAGCCCACAGCAGGGCAGCACCTATCAAGAAGCAAAAGCAGCCACAGGAATTTAGATGTAAGAAAGGAGGTAACAGTCAACTGCCAAAGGGGAGGAGAGTAATTTCACCTGCTTGGACATAGACAAGTATCCTAGATTAGGAGACCTGGGCTAGAGAAGCTTTCCTTGGATCAAGGAGGTCAAGAGGTAACAGGGCTCCTGTACTCTGTAAGCTGTGTTGGTCAGGCCCGGTCCTTCCTGACTTCCAACCCATCTGGCCCAGGGTCAAAGCAGCCCAAAGGAGCCCCACAGGACCGCAACTACTCACGAGCCATCTTGCGGTGAGTTTTGGGGGGCAGCCTGGCCCCACCAGGCTCCTT